AAACCATATCATGGCGTGGCTAGGACCCAACCTGGTACCAGAAATGAAGGAACTAACGCTACAGGACCCGCAGCCCTGGACGATGTGGCTTCCTCAGACAATACAAGCCTCAGACGTTACCTGGGGGATGCTGAAGAGGACAACTCAGGAGGCTGAACGAATCCTGCTCCGGACACAGACACCATTCACTCCAGATAATTTGCTTCTTGCTATGCTTTCTGTTGTACATTGCAACTCACATAGGGTATGGTTCCTTTTTTATGCTCTCACTTTGTCTGCAACCTGTACCTGCTAAACTCTACTGGGCTCATATCTTAGATCTACCTTTCTTTCGCCCTGTCACCTGGGCAGACACTCCCTTCCCAGCCTTTAATAATGTGATTGCTTGGCTAGAAGGGTTAGATTTACACCCAGTGGGGTCTCTCAATAATGGCACACATTGGACTAAGGTGCCAGGTAACACTACATATCACTCCACTATCCTTCCACTATGTGTAAGTTATAAAGGTTCTAACCCTTAATGTGTACTTGCCCAAATCCAACTGTGGCTACATCATGGCAAAAGAAATGCCTTAACAGTCTTAGCTGCAGGTAGCCTCAAATTGGGTAATGCAATTAATGCCGCTTTCCCAAACATTCCTTCCTGTGCTAAAGAACAAAGGTGGGGAAGTAATGAATTCCACTTTAGCTGGGAGGTCTGTCATGGGGAACAAGCCCATAGCCTCCAATTAGGCTATTATAACATCTTAGACTGGAGCCCACACAGCTATTTACAGGGCAGTCTTACTGATGTCCTCATCCATCATGGTATCAATCACCGTTTTGTAACCTCATCCCATTCCCCTATGATTTGAGCTGATGGGGAGATGGGTTATCCCAGACCCCAAGTAAAGTCCTTGCCACTCCATGACACTTTATGGTACCTGGGACATCTTAGCACCTCCTTTGACACTTGGCATGGGACATATCATAATTCCAGTAACAATTATACTATAGCCTTCACTCGTAATCACACAGATCAGTGCCTAATTTGCACTCCCCATCCATATGTTTTCCTTATGGGAACTGATATTTCCATTATACCCCAAAACTCCGCGTTTGTGATCCGGGTGCAGGGACAGGGTTGGTTTGCCTCATGTATCACTAATTACAATATATCTAACTTAAATATTGCTAGTGTTATGATATTAAGGAGACAATCTGAGGCATTCCTACCAGTCAATTTGACACGCGATTGGCAAGGTTTTTCTGTCCTTGCCACCTAAGAATGTCCCCTGTCCCAGGTCAGACTCAAAAGATTCATAGGCACACTTATAGCCTTTATGGTCTCAGCCATAGTCATCCTGGCAACCGCTAGTGTGGCTGTTGCATCTATTACTGAATCAGTACAAACAGCTGCTTTTATAGATAATACGGCCAGAAATGTGTCTAATAAACTTCTCTCACAGCAAGGTATAGATCAAAAGATTCTTGCACTACTGCGAGCCCTCAAGGCTGCCTTAGAATATGTGGGGGAGCAACAAGATGCACTGGCATTCCGACAGCAATGAAACTGCCACTGGGGGGCATAAACATATCTGTATCATTTCTCTACCACGGAACCAATCAATACATGGTTGGGATGAAGTGAAACAACGCCTCTGGGAAACCTTTCATGACAATTTAGCAACTTAAAACTAAAATTTTAGAATAAAATTTTAAAGCATAAAATTTAAGACATAAAGCAACTTAAAACTAAAATTTTAGAATCCTTTCACACTATAGATCCACACACCCAACAAACAGCCATATGGAAGGGTGTGCAAGATCATCTCTCCTGGTTAGAGCCCTGCTCCTGGGGGTCACTCTGACTGGAAAAGAATGCTGCTAGTTATAGTCATGGTTGTCTTATGTTATTTGCTAATTCTAGGATGCAAAGCCAGAATAAGAGCAATGACCGCCCTGCCCAACAGACTTGTTGCTGCACATATCTGTATGCTTCAGTCCAGAGAACCTGATGCAGAAAACAGAAAAGGGGGACATGTGGTAGTTCAGTCAGGCTGGCAGAAAAATTTTAAGATGAAGTTATAGGACATAGACACAAATCTTCTTGGAAGGCTGGAAGGTTTTGTAAAAGTCTCAAGATAGGGCTATGGCTGAGAGCAGCTTAATTCTTACCTTGAGTAAATAGCTTAAAGTGGTTTCAAAGGAAGGTAGTTTATCTAAATAGCGTGTTTACTCATGTGATCGTAAGACCAACCTTTGATCAATCGTGGGTGCATAATTGCTCTCTACTTGGGGGTCAGCGATCAGATTAATTACCTACAGGTGTATTGACTCAAAGCCTTTGTCAATTAAATCTGTGCTAAATAAATGCCTGCAGAGTGGAGGCTGTGGCTACTACTCTTTATAGCACCTTCCTTGGTGTCTGTGATGGGCCTGGACCCTTAGCCGAACTGACAGGCAGAATATCTGTGTCAGTATACATTATTCATCTGTTGTTGGGTCAAGGTCTGTGGGACAAACCCCCACAGGTACCAGTGAGGACTTGTCCTAGGAAGGGATTTAAGCTGGCACCTGTGGAGAGGTGGGTTAGAGAAGAGACTGGAGAAAATGATCCCAGCAAAGGAAGCAATCTATGTCAAAGCTTCTGATTTGGAAAAGACCATGGATAGTTTAAAATAAAACCTGAGGTGTGGTCATAAACAAAGTGAAAGGATGAAAGGTAACTGGAATATAGACAATGAACACATTCTTGTATTCATCTTCCTTTATCTAGCTACATCCCCACAATCTCTCTCTACACCTGGACCAACAAAAGACAGTAATTCTCTTGACTCAGGAATGATTTCATGAATATGTATTTTGTAAACACCAAAAGACAAAATCTAATAGGGTCTCAAAGAATATACTTCACTAATAATGATAAATTTTATTAAAGAGATTGTATTTAGTCTGGATCAATGAGGTGCCTGTCCTGATCCAATCACCCTAGTAATTATGATGTTGTGAAGCACAGGAATGGGACATGCAAGATAGTATCTTGTGTAAGAAACTGTATTATGTGGTTTTTGGGCGTAACTGAGAAACCTGATGCTGGAACCCATATGGAAATGAGTTCTTCACTGCAGTTCACTGCAGACTCTGCTCTGGGGCTGAATTAGGAGATTGAGGTCAGGAGTTTGAGTGGTTGTGTCCTTAGTTGTTGGGAGGAAAATAGATTATTTTTTTCTGGTTAATAATTTTCAATATGAGCCACAACATGCTAGATATTTTATCCGTTTTAACAGGACCCTCTCTTTGTGAATGTTCTCTGGAATATCTATATAAGTGTAATTTCCCTAAATCTCCTCTTCTGCACATCCAGAAACCAGAATTACAAACTTAGCTCTGAAAATATCCGATGGGTGTTTATTAACTAAGTCTTTCTAGTCAAGGAAATACACAAATGGGCACCTGTTGTCTGTTCTTTAGATTGTAGGAAATCCAGCTCTATGTTTCTAACTATCTATCTATCTATCTATCTATCTATCTATCTATCTAATCACTGTGCTAGAAGGATTCTTTCAAATCCACAATTCCAGATGCAGAATTCTGCTGTTTTGTAGTCTGCATCAGTTAACCAGAATCCTCAGGGCTATCAATCATATTTAGAAATACTTAACAATCTACTTGAGCGTTTGAAGTAATTTTTTAAACATTTTTTTCCAGAAGCAAGGACATAGGTCTCCTCAATCATATAATTTTCTCTATTTTCACTGATTTTTACCATTCATTAATAATACATTAATTTCCATTGTTCTACCACTGCTAGAATTCAGTTATCTACTATATAAAAAGCACTGTGTTATAGAGAAGAATGAGAGGACTCTAATTCTGGAGAGTGGCTTCTGTATGACTTTGTTCATTCTGGGTACCTTATTTTTGAGAAGCCCTGCAGAGCCTGGGCTATGCAAACAAACCCATTACATGACACTGTCAATTCTGAAATTTTTAAAATAAGTTGCTGACATTAGTATATCTCAACTTTAAAGCCACATATAATCATAAATTGCTCAAGTTTTACATTTCAGCAGGTCTGGATATGAATCCTGACTCTAACACTGTCTTTGAGAACTTGAAGATTTTTTTTTATGTCTGCATATGTCTATTTTCTTCTATGTGAATTGGGACAGAAAGTAGCATCCTCTTGATGGTTATGAAGAAGGAATGAGATAATGTACATCAGGAACAACATTTAAGATCCAACACCTAATTAAGTGCTCAAATCATAGAAATATAATTATTGTTGTTACATGTTCTATGCTGGGACTTGTAGTTTTTTTCTGTTCTACAAATATATCATGTGCTACACTGACCCTATTAAGGGAAATCCCAGATCAAGAAGTATGGAAAACATCTTATATAATAAGCCTCTCTCTTCACTTCTGTGAAATTAGTAATTTACTCTCATTGACAGGAGGCCCTGTAAAAGTAAAGGGTAGAAGGACTCATCAGTTCTGCTATCTTGTATCATTGAGGACTTGCCAGAGGAAAATATTTAAGCTGGCATCTGAAATTTAAGGAAATTCTTGCCAGTGATGAGATGGGAGAAATGGATTCCCAACAATGAAATAACATGTTTCCAAATATATACTTGGAATATTTATTTCAACTTGGAATGCTGAAAATAAATTCAGAAATAGTACCAATAAGCAAAGGGGAAAGTTGTGAAAGAAATTGGAATGTGGGTCATAACGCACTCTTTGTCTTCATCTCTGTTTGTCTGGCCATTACCGCTCCCCCTCTCAGTAGGTTGAGCAACACAAGATATTAGCCCTCTTGAGGTCAGCAATCATTGCACAAATATATTTTAGATAGCAAAGACTGTGATGTGGTAGTATCTCACTGTATGCATTCAGTAAACACATGGGTGATTTAATTTTATCAAGAGATTGTGGAAGAGAAACTCTTTTAACAGTCTAATGATCCCTGTAATTTATGTTTGGGAGATAGGAGGCATGGGACCCAGGAAATTGTACCTTGGTGAAGAAACTGCTGGATGGGGTTGTTGGCGGCATCTGAGGAGTCTTGGGACGGCTTTCAGGTAGGGTTGTGCCAGCCTCTGAAGGTTTTGGATGCTGACTCCGTTCCTGGGGTAGTGCCAAGCTCCTGGCGTCATGGCTTCTCTGGCTTGTATTTTTGTGTATCTGAAAGTATTCATTTTTTTTTTTGTTTAATGTTTTTTAATATTAGGGAAAGCACAACATCTTTAAATATGTGAGACTATCATCCTTTATTAAATTCTAATAGATGTCATTACCTTTAAAAATTGCCTCTATCTAATGTATTCCTCCAGGCAACTGCCAATATATTTTTTTGCTAAAATGTAAAATGATCTAACATTCTTAGTCAAATAACATCTTTATTTACTTATTTTTTAAAATGAACTCCATTTTTGTCTTTATGGCATAAGACAGATGAGAAAAGGACTACTTGTTACCTGTCTTGTATGAGTTTTTCTTACCTTTCCACATATGCCAAAGTTGTACAGAACTCACTATGCTGTTTCTCACTTTTAATATTTGTATGCAACATTGTATCTGCCTGAAGTCTTTCCAATGTCTGTCTTTACCTTGTTAAGAGCAGCAGTATCTAGTGCATACTGGTTTGTCATAATGTACAAGGAAGGCAATGGGATACAAAATGTATATCCATGATCTCATTTAATTTTCAAGCCAATCTTATGAGGAACATGTAAGCTATTTCTCTAATATCATGCACCTAAATGAGCAAAATATATACCAAGCCTATCTTACTACAAAGAACTTGGTTTTGATAACTAACTTCAATTAGTCCTGTGCCCTCTGAATTTCTTCAAATATTTTAGTAGTTAGCACAAGTTTCATGTCTTTTTGAAGAAGATAATTAATGTCATTCTTTTAATATATTTTAATAATTTTCTCTAAGTGTAAGTGCAAGGGCATCATTTGGTTTCTCATGAACTTGCAGAATTTTAAGTGTAAAACAACAGAAGTATGGTTTCCTAAAACTTAAAGCAAATGATTTTCATCTTTGGAAAACTAATATCTGTTTATTTCTCACCTGGATGAAACTATGCATTTCTGACATCAGTTTTGACATATTTTCCCTCTTTCTCAGTCGAAAGCAGAAGAGTTGAAGCTTATCTCCTTTTTCACAGGGGATATCGTGGCATTCTCCTTTTCCTACTACAGTCATACTTCCTGTTTTATCCTGAATTTCATAGATTGTTGTCTTCCTATTTATAATTTTCTGCAACAAAAAATTAATATCATGTTTGTGAGAACATAGTAACTACTGTACATAAGGGAAAGTCTCTTGTGACAGATTAAAAACAAGATGCAAGACAGCAACTCCCAGTACTGTATCAACATACAATACATATGCCTTAGTCTGGACCATCTCACAGAGCTCTCCCTCAATATCCTCTTTGTTTAAGTCCTTAACGTTCTAAGTATTTCTATTACAGTTCTAGAGCAATGAGTTATCTTCCCAATTTCAACTTCTTTCACCTCCAAGACAGCTATGCTTCCCAAAGCACCTTGATACAAAGGAACCTGAAGTCCTTGGTAGGCTTATTTGGCCTCTGCCCCTATGCAAAAAGAATGGGCATCTGTTACAACTAATTATTTGCTATGTTATGAGGAATCTGTAATAAAAAACAAGCTTTTAGTAACTATCTAATTACTTTTTTGACTTTCTCCATTTACTGAATCTCTTTCCACATCTCCCATCCTGAAATCAGGTCCTTAAGTTCAAACATTCCAATTTCTTGCTCATCAAGGCTATTACTCATCGTTCTGGATGTGTCTTTCTAAGGATAATTTCTTTAAGAGTGTGTACAGAAAGCAATGCTGCTAAAATAAGAGGTCATTCTAGAAAATAAATGTAACAGATTGAGAGCTGTTGATCATGTAAGAAACTACTGGAATCAATAGCCAGGTATAGACTGGTTTTCTGAGTTGGAATGTCTCATGCTAACTAGTTTCATAAATTTTGACAGTAACATATCAGAAAAATTATTCTGCTCTTTTTTTGTGACACATCTAGTATACGAGTACAGATTACTTGACTTTCCAAGTATCATCCAAATTTATATTTCTCAGTTGTTCAATACTTTTTGATGAATAGGCTTCATTTGGTCAGAACATTGTCCTACCTGTTTTCTGTAGTTGATTTCCAGGTATAATCAGTCAATTCATTTCTTGCCCCGATTGTCAAAACTGGAACTCAAGCCTCAAAGGACAATACTTTATTCAAAATGAAACTAATGTGATTTTTGCTACAATTGAGATTATAATCAAAGAAATAAGTTTACTATTATGTTTGTATGGATCTAGATCCCTCACTATCCTTGATCATTATGACTCATAATAGGTAGTCATAGCTGATGAAGTCTCAAGGTTTCTCAGTGAATGTTTTACTAAAGAACTTCAGGGTGATATTTTGGAAAGAAAAACATGGGAATGAGAACATTAATAGTTCTCCTAATCCTGGTCTTAACCTTGAAGAAGACTTTATTTACTTGTCAGTAGTTTTGGGAGAGTCCTGAGTTCTAATGTTAAGTAAATATGTAAACTTCCATTTAGCACATCAGGGGTTTTAACTTCACGTGTTATTGTAGAAAATGCAACAAAACAGCTTTGATGCCTTACCGTATGTAGCATATATAATCCATATACAATATATCCTGAAGTTTGTTTGTGAAGAATATTGATCTTCGGAGTTTTCTTTGCTCTTATGATGATGTCCTTTGGAACCTCAAACATTTGGTCAGGACCAGCTTCAGATACAGAAGAGGCTTCATTCACCTCTAGGAGACTATTATGTTTAGAATAATTTGATATAATGATGATTCTCTTTTTAATGAATTTCCCCTTCAAGTTGATGTTTAAAACCTTCACATGAAAGAACTGTGTCTGCGTAGCCACTGTAGCATGAAACATTGCTCTTTGCTCATTTTCTGAGAATTCATATTTAAATATCTTTGTTGCACTTAGTACCATCACGATCATTGGGTCTTTTGGGAAAATATTTTTACTGGGAGTTGCCTGACGGTTGGCCAATGGTTTTAGGCTCTGTGCATGATAAAAAAGGAATACAAAAAAGAAATTTTTGAGTGAGGAATACAGAATTGCTCTTCAATGACCTCAAGTCACAGCATTGGGCCCCAAAACGGTTATAGATGTGTAGAGCTAGGGCCAGGATACAGGGAAGGAGAGGATATCCTGAAGTAGTTTCATAGCCAGATGCAGTAATATAGGAGACCACATGGTAAAGGAAGACTCTTCTCTAAACAGAATAATTCTTAAAATGTAAGATATAATAACAACATAAGACAAGTGGATGCTGAGCTGATTATCATGAAGTAACTTAAAATAAATTTAGGATAAAATAATGAATTGTAGTTTTACTCTTACCAGCTTAAAATGCCAGAGCATAAAAATAGACAAAATACAATTGAATAGCACTGAAAATGGTAAAGGGTATCCACCACAAACCACATACATCACTAGTGTTTAGTTATTACCAATGTAGACAGGGCAATTTTTAGCATACAACTCGTACTTTTCCTGCCTAAGATAAATACTCTTAAAGCAGGTGAGAATACCTGTGGGCTAAACCCCTCAGAATGCCCTCATCTCAGTAGGTTCAGGCTACAGACACTCTACAGAGTGTCATTTCCACCATTGCAGCCTTTCTCAATGTCAGGGCTCCAGGAGGTAGCATGCTGGCAGAAAACCAAGGATCAGAGTGGATTGTCTTTAATACCCTTTTTCTATAACATCCAGGTTTCCTTAAATTGCAGCAGAACACATTAATGGAGGAAAAGTTGTTCAATTTCAAGAAAAAGCACTGGAGGAATAGGTAGGCCTCATTCGCAAACCAGCAGCTCCTGAGTGGTCTGATCTGGAATACCATAGACAGTGATCATCTGTGAGTGATTGGACTTTATTTGATCTGACTTTTCATCCATGTGACCCATTCAGCCTAACACAGAAAAGTCCTTTCCCAATGCAAGTTAATCAGTAACCATAGACTCATCCATGAGAATATTAATAGTAACCAATATGCAACCTTCCAAGGAGCCACGTGAATACAGGACCTGCATGAAGGGGATCATAATAACTGCTCAGAGAGACATAATAGGACATTACATTGTATTACAGTATTTTCAGAAAAAATATGTGTATACATAGGAGTAAATGTGAGAGGGTATATAGAGAAATGTGGCAAATTATGGATGCTGGAATTTCATGTAAATTTAATTAAGTTTGATCCGGTTTGTCTGCATTTATTCCTTTTTTTTCTGAAATAGTCTTATATTAATACAAAATCTAATGTAAGAAAAAAGGGAATAGAGCACGTTCCAATTAAGGTTGGTGTTGTGGTTTCATCACTTGTTGCCTATCATAGTTGATCTCCTCTATTGTGTATCAGAAATACAGAACATTCTTTTTTATAATAAAGCTCATTAGAGTTTCAATTAGTTTTTAGACTATTGCTGATACATGCATACAGTAAGGCTGACCTGTCCAAATTTGAGACGAGTACAACATTATAAGGATTATCAGAATCATGCAATTATTAATTGTAGTTTACTTTCTTTCATTTGTAAGTCTTGGTGTATCATCTTCTGTCTGCCTACGTTTTCCCAAACTCCTGAGCTCTCTTCCCTATTCCATCACTTCTCTTTGTTTTTACAACTTTTGGCCTCACAATAGGTATCTTTGACTGAGTCAGATGACCTTTATTTGTCATTTGCTTAGCTGCAGTGGTTCATATCTTAGAATATGGTTCTTTTTTATTTTTTTACTTTTTTATTTTGAGACGGAGTCTCACTCTGTCGCCCAGGCTGGAGTGCAGTGGTGCAATCTCGGCTCACTGCAACCTCCACCTCTCTGGTTCAAGCAATTCCCATGCCTCAGCCTCTCAAGTGGTTGGGATTACAGGTGCGTGCCACCGCACCCAGCTAATTTTTTTCTATTTTTAGTAGAGACAGTGTTTCATCATGTTGGCCAGACTGGTTTCGGACTCCTGACCTCAGGCAATCCACCTGCTTCGGCCTCCCAAAGTCCTGGGAATACAGGCGTGAGCCACTGGTTTTTCATTTTTTCATTGAGTAAAGGTATTTATTGGAAGTTTCCCATGAGGCAGACACTGAAGTAGGCCCTGGTTTACGGTGGTCCACAGAATTACAAACTAACCCTAATCTTGGAACTACATTGAGTAGGTGGGAAAGATAAACCCTTCTTAACTTGAGTTGTCATAAACAGTAGAATAGAAAGAAATTCCTAGGAAACAGAACACCATGAAGATTTAGCCTAAGTTACAGGAGTCTAAGTGAGGATTCCCTGAGGATAAGGTCTCAGTATTGGGATCCAGAGGGTGGATAAAGTTGACCAGTAAGAGTTTTAAGGTGAAAGAAATATGGTGTGTGAAAATCCTAAAGGAAAAAGGAGCATGGTGTATGTCAAAGAAACTTGAACAAATTAGTGAGCAAAGGGAAGGGGTGTGAAACAGATGGGGGCAGTAGACAGTGAGTCCATTGCTGAAAAGTTCCAGATTCCACATCTCTCTCTCTCTTCCCCAGACAACACAGGACAGAAAACTTTCTGCAGTCAGAGATAATGTCAAGTTCATCAAGTATCCCTTTGGAAGCAAAAGATTAAAATGCAGTGAATTCTCAGTCTATACATTTGATTTACTGGCTGATTATTGATGTCATTTTTCAGTAGAGGATGAAATCAGATTCCTACATTTTGGGTTGAAGAAAATGAATCACAAGGGGACCAGGAAGAGTGTACCTCAGTTGAGGAAGCGTTGGGTGGAGCTGATGATGAGGTCTGGGGAGGTGGGGAACAGCCCATGGCTGTGGACGTGCTGGCTTTTGCAGAGCAGGAAGGCTGAGTCTGCTCTTTGGACATCTTACTCCTTTTGGTTCCAGTCTCTTCTTCAGATGGTTTTCTTCTTTTCTACAAGTAGTTTATTTTTCTTGTTAATTATTCTCAGTGTCAAATGAAGCAGAACACATTTTCATTACAAGGCAGGATGTTTATTATATATAAATTATTTTTCTTGGAAACTTAAGTGGGTGCTGTACATCCCCAGGCCAATTGAAAGAATAGGGCATAGATGGTTTCATTTAAAAAAGGGGAGTGGAGAAAGTAACACACACCACTCCTCAATTACTTGTGTTTTGGGATATGCTGACTTGCAGTTAAAAAACTAGGCTTTTGTAAACACAGGAAACTTTTTTTTTATCTGACTCTCAAGTTAACATCCTTCTCTATTGGGGATGAAAATATACGTATTTTATACATATTTACATTATGTTTACTAAAGCATTTAACTTGTTGCCTCACAGAAAGAAGATGATCAACTATTATGTAATTTGATAAATCTGAAACTTGATGGGAACCATAGGAAGAAATAACTGTCTGCTGGAGAGATTAAGTGGAAGAGCCATAGCAGAGCTTCCACTGTGAGACTTGAAGCCTGCTCCTCTTCCTGAAGCTTACCTGAGGTCCAAGAGTCTCCTCTGCTCCTTTAGCTGTGAGTGTGTTGCTTGTGGTGGATGCAGGTGTAGCAGGATCCACTTCTTTCTGTTTCCTCATTTTAGATGGGGTTGTTCCTTTGACTGGAATGGATTCAATTTTATTCACAACTAACGCAGAAAAAAGGAAGATGTATAAACCCAGAGCAGATGATCGCGGACAGCTGAAGCAGTTTCAATACTATTTGCTCTTAGCGCCTGCTTGAGAATTCAGGTGTGTTTTAGTCTACTTCTGTTGCATTAGCCTAGTCTGGCTTCCAGGAGGCCAGCAGGAGAAACAAAGGCACAAACACTGACTCATACTCTTCAGTGCTTTCATCACTCCTCCTCTGTGCAGTGAGGACATCTTTCCTGTCCTCTGAACTCCATGTGCCTCAGTCAAACCCATTCCCAATCCTATTCTTCTATCATTTCTTTTTAAAATGTAAGGTTCTCATGATGCTGACTGCTTAGTCACATTCTCCAGATAATCTATTCAAATTACAGAAACCAGTGAAAGGAGATGTTATATAGGTTTGTGAGGTGAGATATTGTGACTTTTGACTTTTTTATTTTTTATTTTTTTGAGACAGAGTCTCACTCTGTCACCCAGGCTGGAGTACAGTGGCGCGATCTCGGCTCACTGCAAGCTCCGCCCCACAGGTTCACGCTGCCGTTCTCCTGCCTCAGCCTCCCAAGTAGCTGGGACTACAGGTGTCCGCCACCACACCTGGCTAATATTTTTTGTATTTTTTAGTAGAGACAGGGTTTCACCTTGTTAGCCAGGATGGTCTCAATCTTCTGACCTCGTGATCCAACTGCCTTGGCCTCCCAAAGTGCTGGGGTTACAGGCGTGAGCTACCATGCCCGGCCGACTTTGTTTTAATTATTTTAACTCAATGATATGACAAGAGGGGAGGTTTTCATACTACCAGGAGCAATGCTTACATTTAAACACTATGTTATCCTTTGTATTATAAAGAATGATGATGTATTGAATATTCTCAATAGAATGGACACATTAATTGGCTAAAATGTACATATCTCAGATATAAACAACAATTTTTTATAATTTTATTTTGTCATTATGTAATCTTTCAAATGTACTAGAAGTCTCAGTCTGTCTTCAACTCCCTCTCCTTTTTGTTCTTTTACTGCACCTCAACTCCGATATACGTCAATCCACATTAGTAATGGAATGCCATACGTTGTCAACTTATTGGCATCTGAAGTGCCAACAATGTCATGGCCAGTGAGTCACAAATTGGGAAAAGGATGTATCAGCTATGACCAAGGTGGCATTCTAATCAAGGTTGGGAAGGGTGGGGATGGTTGCAGTGGGTGGGTGTTCCCTCTTCCCAATTACCTTTTAACTTTTCTCTTTTAAGAGTTGCAGCAAGGTCTCCCAGTGTTGGTATTTCTTTGAAGAATTCTATTAGTTTGCCCAAACCAGCATCACCTGGGAACTTTTCTTCCATCAAGTCAGCAATCTGAATTTTGTCATACTCTTCTTTCATTTTTGGATTAAGTTTTAAATCGTTGCTCAGTAAGGACTTAACAATTCTAAAATGATAATCATTGATGACCTCCAATCCTTTTAGTAGAACAATTTTCTTGTAGTTACTTGCCATCGCTAAAGATATAAGTGAGCCTACAAGAGAAAAATGGTAGACAGTGTTACACACATATACAGACAATTTAAAAGAAGATGTATGCCTCTGTGAATGAGTGGCCCATAAGAAAGAGTTGTTCATGAATATGTGTGATAAAGAAGGACTTAATGACCAAATGTGTTACTGTAGAAATTGAGTGAAGAACTGTTTCTTTAGGAATGTCCAAGTAATTCTTCCCATTGAATGAGGATAGTTGAATTGGGTCCAGGTGTTAGAAGGAGGTCTGTGAACAAGCAGTTGTCTCAGTGTGTAGAGTATGGGCTGTGCAGTGTCAAAGTCCTTGGTTCCTCTTCCCATCCTTTATTGGGGCTGGGGCCTATCCCCTAAAACCTGCCTGCTGTTTCTTAAATCTTCCCACACCCACCACTATGACTGGAGTGGCCTAGGTGTAAATGGGCTGCAGCCTCCCACCTTATATGAATAACTTTCTGCTACAGCACTACAGTTTCATGCTGGGACACAGACCCTATTCTCCTTAACTCTTCTCTTGTCAGCTGTCATTAGTATCCTCTCCCTTGGTGTTGGACCCTGCCATATTTGTCCTCTGTGCCCATAAAACTTCACTGTCCTGGACATCTACATTTTCTCTATTGCAGAACACAGGATTTATTGGTTGGAATATTTCGATAGTTGCTTGATTTTTCTTTTAGGCTTGATTTGTCTAATTCATTTTCATTTAACAGATCCACATTTATCTCTATAAAATACATTTTTATCCCACTGAAATGTTTCAATATTTGCTCATTTTCTTTTCAATACATTCCTTGCTTCTTGTATTGGTTTCAGAAAACTTTGAATAATCTGCATTCTTTTTTTTTTTTTTTTTTAAAACCTCTGGCACTTGTGTGTTCCTTATATCTTACGATTCAGAAGTATAAAACATTTTCATGCTTCATGACACTGCTAATTCTCTTCTCATTGCCTGGAAAGCCATTCCCACATTCCTCTCTCTAACTACCTCTCCTACAACCTTTAAGACTCAACTGAGAGTTTGCCTTCTAGAAATTTTCAGAGTCTCCTTAAGGACGCAGTATTACTCCTCTGGACCTCTTTAGCGCCAGTGCACTTTAGCACATGATGACACACAAAGCATGCTATGGATTCCTATTTCCTTTTTAAATTATCACAGCACTTTGCGAGGCCGAGGGAGGCAGTTCACCTGAGGTCAAGAGTTCAAGACCAGCCTGGCCATCATGGTGAATCCCTGTCTCTATTAAAAGTACAAAATTTAGCCAGGCATGGTGGTGGGTGCCTGTAATCCAAGCCACTTGGGAGGCGGAGGCAACAGAATCACCTGAACGAGGGAGGTGGAGTCTGCAGTGAGCAGAGATCATACCACTGCACTCCAGCCTGAGTGACAAAAGCAAAACTCCATCTCAATAAAAACAAATACCAAAACAAATATTTTAATTATAGAAAGCATGTATTTGTGTACCTCTTATGTAATTAAGATATTTAAATTCCTGGGGCTGTTAATTGCTTTCTTCTTGAGAGAACATGAGTGTCCTCAGATTGAAAAGCATAGAATGAAGGAAAAAATGTATACAAAGACATATAGTCAAACTGAAGCATATAAAAAACAAATAAATACTCCATACGCCTCTGAGAATGAAGAATATATCACCTGCAAAGATCCAAAAATTAGATTGAAACTGATTCTCAACAACAAATCTACTTGAAACAGGAGAATGGAATCATTTTTATATAATGTTGGTCCAAAATCCCATATAAGTTGCTAAACAAAAAGTTTAGAAATGGGAAGTTTTGATTTGTTTTGTGAGTATGACAACACAATTAACTTGCAAAATGAAACCAGATGTGAGATTACAGGAGGTTATGTATGATTTTTATTTATTCCACTTAAACACAAATATTCATATATTTTGATGCTGAAATATTAGTGCTTTTGTTTTTACAGTAATGACACTGATAACATTGGGGTTTCTAGAAAAATGTGCATTAAGTAATCTTTTAAACCTCCAAGTTCTGATTTTCAAAACATATCGAGCCTCCCAGGAACAAAAGAAATACTCTCATCTTGTCTTGAAGGAAAAAATAATTTTTAAAACTAGAATTTCAATCTAAACAAAATGATATTTCAACAAAAGGTCCTCAAAAACTATTCTCTGAACCTCAAGGCCTTAGTAGTTTTTCAGACAAAGATGCACACAGAAACATTTTTGGAAGAACTTTTCAATAGAAAATTTAAAAAAATTTTTTAAAAGCTGCAGGCCAAAAGACGAGTAAGAATGAAAAACGAACTTGATTATGTATGCCTATGTCTTAAAAAGAAAGCCCTGATCAAAGAAAAGAGAAACAGAAAGTATACCAACATGGTGGAGGGAGGGAAGAAAAAGAATGTGACAGTTTACTAATGTAATTGTCTTAGAAGGTGAGATGGAAATGTAAGTTTTAAAAAAAAGACAAGTAGGAGAATATAGAAGAGTTATAAATTGAAGTGAAGATAGCAGAAACAGGCCAAAATATGTTAATTATTAGCCTATACATAAAGAGCTTAACTAATTAAATGACAACTTTTATCAAATTTGATTAAAATTTCTATATGTATGTTGTCAGTGAAAGATCACTGAAAAGTGAAAAAGAAATTTAAATTATCATGCAAGAAGAAACTAGAAGAAAACCAGCTTATCTATGTTAGAATCATTTTAAAAAAGATCTTAAGACAAAGAGTATTATCAGATACCACAAGGTAAAAGGGTGAATTTCTGGGAAGATACAATAATTTAAATTATAGATTTATCTAATAATAATAAATGTATATTATTTTTCATTATTGTATAGTCTTTCATGATAATATATTTTTATATAATATATTTATCTTCATATACACACATATGTACACACATTGCCACAAATATATATATTTATATGTATATGTTTATGTTTAGAAACATGTATGCATGACCACATACCACACATAATATACATTATATATATGCATATGAGCATATCTATATATTATATATATGAATTTGAGAGAAGTACAGGAAAATACCGTCTTATAATAGGAGTTTTTATATCTTCCAACACTAAATGAAAAAAGTAAAAAAATAACATTTTTACAAATTTGAGCAACAAAATTGATAGCAGTATTTAACATATATAAATTCTGAAATCAACATTTAAAATCTCATATTCTAGTCAAGTACACTGAAATATTGCACCAGGCTATACAGAAAGACTTCGAAAAATTTTAAACTTTGCAATATAAATCTATTTCAAGTTGACTTCCCTGCCTCTCTCCTATACATTGCCACTAGAAAAATAAAAAATCATTAACTTTCAGGAGGGTAGGAAGTAATCTTAAAATGACTGAAAAACTGCCTTTTATACCTGGTGTAGAATGATACTTATGTAAAAGTTAAACATACTTATGAAAATATTGACACAAATTATTTGAATAATTGTGTTTGCAAAATGGATAAATTTTCTACTGTGTTTTCATTTGTAGAATAATATTACAAAATGTTCTCACATACGTTTGTGTGTGAGAACATGTTTTGTAAAATTGAGATAATACCATAAAACACAGCTCTACATCTAGATGTCTTTTTTACTTAATATTATTTCCGATACTTTGTGCACAACATTATCTTGTCTTATTTTATCTTCTACTTTCATTTTAGGTTCAGGGAGTACATGTGCAGGCTTGTTAAATGAGTAAACTGTGTGTCGCTGAGGCTTGTTGTACAATGATTCCATCACCAAGGTAGTGAGCATAGTACCAGCTAGATAGCCTTCTAACACACATACTGCTCCCACCTTTCCCTCTCAAGTAGTCCCCAGTGTCTAATGTTCCCATCTTGTGTCCATATGGATTCAATGTTTAGCTTCCACTTATAAGTGAGAACATGCAGTATTTGGTATTCCTGTGTTAGTTCACTTAAGATAATGTTCTCCAGCTATATCTATGTTGTGCATATACAGCGTGGAATACTATGCAACCACAAAAAAGAATGAAATCATTATCTTGTCTTTTGCCTAGACCCCTGTGGCCACCAAGCTTTCTAACCTCAGAGAATATATACTCAGAGGATTTGTTTTAAAATCTGCAATGGTCAAAATGCATATTCCTTCATTCGTGCCCCAGTTGTAGAATAAAGGATATCTACTATCTCTGAAGTAAGTAAAGAACTGGAAGTAGTAACTGCAATTTTCACTTTTCTGAATATAGTTGATACCAGCTCTACTCCCTTCACCCCAGTGCTCTGAAGAACCAATATTAATTTTTCCCTTGTGATTTTGTGGATTTCAAGGAAACATCTAGATCTTTTCTACAAAAATACCCACAGTACTCACCTTACTGGGAATTTCTTCAACAGTAGTCCAGATCTTGAGATCTTCAGAAATGTAGGAAATGAGGATTGTTTTGAGTAGGGAACTCAATCAGTAAAGCTCTCAGAAACTGAAATACAGGATGTTATAATCTTCTGAAATGCTAAGTAAATGAAGTGTTTTCAAAGACAGTAAGGGAAAATGGCCGTCCTTAGAGTCACTTCACTTGACTAGTACTGGCTTCCTCACACTCTGCTTTGCCCTAGAGAGAGAGGAGCTGTGAAACAGTGTGCAGACTCCTCCCACCTCCCACCAGTGTTTTTCGCTTTCCATCCTGTTAGAGAAAATGAACAGTTTCTTTCCTGTAGGTATCTTATCAAAGTAAAATTTATATCAAAGTTATATTTAAATTTTTTTTTCTTACAAATGTTGATATCTGAATGGAGTTCCAACCTTAGAACTTTCTTAGCCAGCAGATTTACATGTGGGTCATTAGGGACCTCTATTCTGATGAATGATTGTCAAATATAAGAGGAAGCAAGGTGGCTTCTTCTCCCTCCTTTCCTGTGCACAGAGTGGCAGTTGCAGGAGGAGATCTTGGTAGGAGCATCTATTGCTACCAGTACTTTACTGCATCTCCTGCATGGGAGAATGTCTGCTATGAAATGGCAATTGGTTTAAATACTACCTGAAGCATTCACCCAGTTATTAATAGTTGGCAGACCTAGGGCTTTCCATATCAGAAAGTTATTACCAATATATAAATCCTTTCTCAAATATATATGAAGGAGTTTAACACTAGCTGTCCTCTTGACTATGACTAGGCTACTTAACCTCAATGATTAGATTCATGACTACTCACGTTTTCTTCATTATTCATGGAAAAACACAAGTGGACAGTGGGCTCGCAACATGACAGCATCGAAGCCTTGAAAATCCTGGAAAATGCACTGAACTTCTGGTAGGGTGAGAGTCCTGTTAAACCATTTTCTCAGCAGTATTTTTTCTGTTAAGGGCAGTGGGTGTCCTTCAGAGTACTGTAGCCCCAAGATGTCAAATAAATGACACCAACTGGCCGATAAGGTTGTGTTAACCCAGCAGCAGATCTGCAAGCAGGATGTGGCTGTGAGTGGAAAGTGGGGCCCCAAATACAGCTGTAGGGGAGAAAACATATATATTTTTTAAATTTCCCTTTTTAGGTTCTTAGCTGACACTCTCCTGAAAACGCCAAATCAACAAGAAAAACAAGCAGTTTATTAATGTGTGCTCTACCTATCACAAGGGATAGGCCTCAGTTCAAAAGTATTTCTCTCTCCAGGCTGTGGCTTAGAAACCTTGTTTAAATAGTGTTTCAATAAAGAGCCATAAATCCTAGACAGTGAAAAGCAAAGGAGAAAGCAGTCCCAGTCATTTAAAAGGTGGGAAAATGTGGGATGTTCCCAGATTCCTCAGGTTTCTGGTGGTGCTTTCCCTGGGCTGAAAAGCAAGTGCTTTCTCCAGTAAATAAGGATTTATGTCCTGCCATCAGGCAAATAGTGCCTGAGGCAGCATATTCCCCTGCACTTTCTGTGTGTTTAACTTAACAGTCTTAAGTATTTTGAGAAGTATTTTTGGTTTCCTTCACAAATAATACAAATGATCTGAGGCCATCTTGGAGCAGAAGAAAGCTGATCATCTTAGTACAAACTGGGGTCACGGAGAGGATAGTTGAAGTCTGGATTTGGAAACATATGATAACTTTATCAAAGCAAAAGTAAGTTAAGGAAAAGCAAGGAGGATCTGGAAGGGTGGCCATAAAAATACCTTTGAGTGTTCATGGTTTTATAGGTTTTCGATAATAGGTAGAGAAGGATATTAGGAAGGTCAGGTTACCCCAATTCAAAGGTCAGACAGTAGAGGAAACTTGCTAGACATTATCGTGTTTCAGGACATTTTTCTCTCCCCTTTGTGGTAATAATTTCATGCAGAGTAATGCCTTTGGTTAGGACTCCAGCATACAACACACAAATTACTGTCACCAAAGACAATTCAGAACATTGCTCTGTAATCCATACTGTGCAGATAAAATTGTGATAGATGAAGCAAAGAAATGCTTTAAAAATGTGCATTTGTACTGATTCTGAAGCAGTGGGCAATAATTTGCAATTTGTGCCATCACACAGAAAGCTCATTAATAGAACATACAAGAGATCCTGATAAGGGGGAAAAAGTCTGGATGAACCTGCATGACTTTATCATCTGAAGTACTAATTCCCATGCTCATTCAAAGTCCTCAGGAAAAGTTCCCACCAGATTAATATTCTAACCAAGATGTTAGTAAATTACTGCCTATGGGACAATACTAACACACCATCCACTTTTGTAAGTAAAATTTTATTGAAACACAGTTGTGATTATTCACTTATGCATTGTCAATGTCTACTTCATGGTGCAATGAAGAGTTGACTAGCAACAGAGTACATCTGGCTGCAGAGTGTAAAGATTTTGCTGCATGGCTTATTACAGAAAATGTTTGTCAGTCTGTACCCAGTCATCAGTCTAGGAGACAGCAGAAAGCCTCTAAAGAGAAAAGCAAAAGTAAGTAGAAGAGCAATGTTAAATCAAGGTTAGCCTAAAGCTGGCTTCTTACATATTCTAAGTTTGGCCTAAAGGTTTCTCATGCAGCATGAATGATAGTCTAAATGGAAGTGTAAACAGACTGTAGTATACTCTTGGGTCAATCACCAAGTTTTGGTCAATCAAATGTGGCCCACTTGTTCAAACCGCATTCAAATAAGGCAAACTCCGAGCTATAAGCAATCCAGCTCTCTCATGTCCATTTTCTGTATCTCCCTTTTCTTTTTCTCTTCATAAATCTTTCACTATGTGGCTGTGCTGGAGTCTCTGAGCCTACTCTGGCTTGGGAGGCTGCCTGAATAACAAATCGTTCGTTGCTCAATTAAACTCTTTTAAATTTAATTCAGCTGAAGCTTTTCTCTTAACAGCAATCACGCCAACAAACCACATTTGGGACTTTTAAAGTCCATTGTAAACCCAAGGATAAAGGCTTGTGATACTTTTTGTGATCTCAGAGAGGAAAATGGAAATGCAGAGTGTTAAAGCCTTTCTCTATCCCTAAGAGTCAGAACAAAACCCATTTGTATGGGAGCCTCTGTTAGCAAGATTGCTTTATACATTCATGACCATCGGCCACCTGAATCAGGTGCCTTCTCCTTTTGTCTCTCGAGTAAATAGTTTTCTGTTTCTCAAGGAAGAGGGAAGGGTGATTGAGTTTTAAACGTTGAACCAATCTTACATCCCTGAGATAAAACACTTTTAATGATACATTATAATTTATCATATTGATAAGTATATTGGTAAGTATAATTTTTCAATATTTCAGAAGTGTTTTTACATTTATTTTCATGTGAGAATTGGCTTTTGTTTTAGTTTCTGTGTAATATCTTTAATTTGGGTGTGACAGCAAACTGGCATTTCTAAAACAGATTGTATAGACATGGTAAACTTTTATCCTCAAATGTCTGATAGAATTCATAAAGTGTCTATTCCCAAAACTTTCACTATGGAAAGATTTTTGTTATAACTTCTCTTTCTCTAATAGATATAAAAATATTTAGTTGTTTTATTTCCTTACAAGACAGTTTTGGTAAGTTGTGTTTCATGGGAATTTTTTCTGTAACAAATTTGTGTTTACAGGAATTACGCAAGTAAGCAAACAAACTTATTTGCATAATATTATTCATAATATTATTTTATTACCATTTTAATATCTGCAGTGTTATCCCTTTACTTTCCTGAAACTGGTCATTTATATTATCCTCCGCTATTTTTCTTGATTATTCCTGGTAGACTGACTCTCTGAGGAGGATGCTCAGGGAAGTTCAAAGTCAAGAAGAGCGACAAAAAGGACAGTAAAGGATTCTGAAGCGTTTGGCACCTACATCTAAGACAAAAGGTAAATAACATTTTAACACCTAGCCAGACTAACAAAAAATCTCATACTAAAGGTCTATTTATTTCAGTTCCTATTACCTGATCATATATCTCTTCCTTTTGACAACAACAACAGCAACAACAAAAAGAAAAAGCAAGGTATGCTAAAGTCAAGGAAAAACAGAGTCTGAAGAGTCAAAAGAAGCATTAGAAGCAGACTCAGATATGACTGTGATGTGGAAATTTGCTGACAGGAAATCTAAAGTTACTGTGATTAATGTATTAAGAGCTCTGATGGAAAAAGAGAGACTGCATGCAATAACAGATGAGTAAGATAAGCAGAGAGAAGAAAACACAAAGAGACAAATCAAACAAAAATATATGAAGTGAAACAATCGTAATAGAAATAGAAAATAATCAATAGGCCAGACACGATCTAGAGAAGAATGTTACCTTGAAGATAGATCAATAGAAATTTCCCAAACTAAATGCAAAGGAAAAAAGTATTAAGCCCTCCAGCCCTCAGAATATCTAATAACTGTGGTGGGATTGAAAAGCCAGAAGGAAAGAAAGAAGGAAGCATAAAAAGTACTGAACTGGTCTCTTTGTCTGGCATGACACCTGAGGTTCTTGGTCTCATGGCCACAGAGATCAAGGATGCAGACACACAGAAAGGGTGAGGTTTAGAGCTGAATTTTAACGGGCAAAAGAAAGAGAATAGCTCTCTGCTACAGAGAAGCATCCTGGAAAAATGGGTTGGTGATCTGCTGTGAAGTGCAGAGATTTTTATAGATGAGATAGGGTAGATGGTGTCTGATCTACACAGGTTGTGTAAAACTGGTTAGGACCAGCTGTGCCATCTGCATAGGGCCCAAATCTCTGGCTGCCCTTACTCCAGTCTTTTATTATGCAGGTGGATAGCTACTCCATGTTGCTTATTTCTTTCTTACCGTACACATGCTAACAAAAAAGGGAAGGTGGCGCCCCATGGTGAATATGCCTCGCACCAGGTAGTCCTTTCTATTGGCGCTGCCAGCATCCCCCTGTGGAAGCTCCTAGCTTCCTTCTCTGTGTTTGCAGTTTGATTTTTCAGGCGGCTCTTTATTAGAAAATAAGTGATTTTTGGGCTGCTTTTTGTTAGAAGGGAAATTTTGCCGAGGACTCTTTTGCCCTCACTATCTGCCTAAGATAATTTATTTCTATCTCCTGTATCAGTATTTGGAGAATTAATTGCCAAGAAATATTTAAAACCAACCAGAGCCAAAACCTCAGATGCAGGAAGGTCAGATATTTTCCATTGCGATAAATGCTGAAAAACAAATCATATCTGAGCATTTTATATTCCAGCTGCAGAAAAGTCAAAGAAAAATATTGATCAAAGTCAGAGGAAAGTAAAATATTGTATTATATATAGTGAAGCAATTCCAAGAATCACTGTGGAGTTTTTTGTCAGGAACATTGGAGGCAACAAGAGAAAGAAGAATATAAAATGAAATGCTTAAATGTATTGAAAGAAAAAACATGGCAATCTAGAATTCTATATCTGTCAAAATTATTGTTCAAAAGTGAAGGAGATCAGATCTACATGAAGAAAAGAAGACCATCAGAGAAGGCATAAATGCAAGTCAATTAAATTTTGAAAATTTTGATTCTTAATTTATTTAA